TGGGACTACAGGCACGTGCCACCATGCCCAGTTAATTTTCTTTTTCTTCTGTAGAGATGGGCTTTCACCATATATTCCAGGCTGATCTGAAACTCCTGGGCTCAAGTGATCCTCCCGCGTCAGCCTTCTGCAGTGTTGGAATTGCAGGCGTGAGCCACTGCGTCCCGACATTAATAAGTGAAACTTTCTAAAAATAAAGTATCAAGTGAGGTACTAAAAGAAACCAAAAAATGTTTCACTCCAAAATATACTTCTTGGACATATTTTGAGATGACTATTCAGAGGGTCTGCAAATACAAGAATCACCCTACAAAGCTGAGTCTTTTGTGGGGATTTGTATCTGTACAGAAAATAAAATGAAGTAAACAGCAAATGCAAACAGGCTTTTTCTGAAGCCCCACCTTGTCCAGAACAAGGAAAGATTAACTGAGAGCCTGACACCTTTAAGGGTTTTATAGAAACACCTACCATAGGCTCCCATGTCTTCTTTTTTTTATTTTTTATTTTTTTATTTATTCTGAGACAGTCTTGCTCTGTCACCCAGGTGGAATGTAGTGGCGTGATCTCGGGTCACTGCAACCTCCACATCCCGGGGTCCAGTGATTCTCCTGCCTCAACCTCCCAAGTAGCTGGGACTACATGCACCCACTACCACACACAGCTAATTTTTCTACTTTTAGTAGAGACAAGGTTTCACCATGTTGGCCAGGGTGGTCTCAAACTCGTGACCTCAGGCAATCCACCCGCCTCAGTCTCCCAAAGTGACGGGATTACAGGCGTGGGCCACTGCGCAGCCTCCCATCTCTCCTTTCTGAGGGCTGCTACCTGTGAGATCATCTGCATAACAAGACCACATTTGCAGCACACTTGCCTCCTCTCTCCCTCCATAACCTCTCATGTCACCATAACCTGTCTTGACAAACTTCAGCCCTTGTTCTTTCTGCAAACTCAAGATAGTATTAAAGAGTTGTTAATGGAAAATAACATTTGGGGACCCCATACTCACCATGCCTAAGGGGAAAGGTCAAGCTTGAGAACTGAGTTACACAAAACGCCTCCAGTTTTGTTCCTGAACAGCTACCAGGATGAGGGACTACATACTTACCTCCCTCACAATTTTCTCACAAGGAAATTCTGGAGTGCCCCAAGGTCCTCACTCTAAAACAGCTCTGCTGAATCTCACTCTGACATTGTAAACTAACAGCTTATGTTCACAGGAATGAGAAAAAGGATGAAACTCTGCTCAGCAGAGACAAATGCAGAAGTGACTGCTTCCTCCACTGTTTACTCACCTCAGGAAAAAAGCAGATTCACTGAGCACGAGACCAATGCCTCCACCCTCTCCTTGCACATGTAAAACGTGGACCCACTGAACGCTGATGAAACCTTCAAAAGAATGCAGCTCTTCTCCAGGCTTAACTTGCTCAGCAAAAAAAAGAATGCAACTCCTTCCTGTCCACTGTTCTCCCCTTTAAATATGGAAGCACTCAAAATCCTCTTTGGAAAAAGTGTGGGCCACAGATTCTATTGTGGCTAGTGTTTCCTTTTCCTGGGCGTATCATCAACCTTGGCAAAATAACTCTGAATTGATTGAGGCCTGTCAGCTGTCTGGACATTTGCATTTTTCACATTTTATATGACTCCAGTTCCCAACTACACAAAAATAAATCTGTATGCCTTTTTTTTCCTGTTAATCACGTTTGTTTTACAGATTCAAATGATCAAAACTTCAGCAAAAAAATTATTTTATATACTTTGCATATATAAAATAATTTATAATTTTCCAAGTATACCTATGATCATAGCAGCATGATTCACAACAGCTAAAAGGTGGACGTGACCTAAGTGTCCATCAGTGGATGAATAAACGAAGCGTCATCCATCCTTGCAATGGGACAGTATTCAGCCTTAAAAGGAAGGAAAGCTGATAAACGCTTGAGGAGATAATACACCAGAATTACCCTGATTTGATCATTACACATTGTAGGCTTGTGTCTAAATATCACATGTGCCCCATAAATGGGTACAATACTATGTATCCATAATTAAAAATACTTTTTAAAAATGAAGGAAATTCTGATACATATTACAACATGGATGAACCTTGAGGACATTATGCTAAGTGAAATAAGCCAGACACAAAAGGACAATTGTCATATGATCCCACGTATATGCGGTACCTCAAATAGTCAAAATCATAGAGACAGGTTGCCGGGGACTGGGGAGGAGAGAATGTGGCATTATTGTTTAATGGGCAAAATTTCAGTTTGGGAGGATAAGAAATTTCTGGAGATGGATAATGATTATGATTGTACAACAAAGTGATGCCACTGAACTGTACACTAAAAATGGTTAAAATGGTAACTTGCATATATTTTACAATTTTTAAGGTTTTTAAAAATTATTATATGAATGCCCATCAATAGAGGATCAATAAAAGAAATTTTAGAAATCACTCAAGGAAACACCACAGAATGGAAAACCATGAACTAGACCCACAGGTGCTGGTCTGGAATGCTTGCCAAGGTCACACACACACTCCAAGCTCATGAGCAGTAGGGATGGAACGCTTCCATTCACACTGCAGAGACTCAATCTGGAAAAGACTCAAGAAACATAGCTGCGATCGATGGCCGCTGGGCAGGAGACATGGCAGCACGGAGTTCAGGGGTGAGTTCAGGACTTACCTACTCCAAAAAAAAAAAAAAAAAAAAATTCTTTGTGAAAACATCAATCTTCTGAATTATCCATTGTACCGAGAGAGAGGAATAAAAAGTAACTAGATCCACCCCTAATACCCCAATTCTGGGGAACTGAATTTCAAGAGGTCGTGACATTCCAACGAACACACTGGTGACAGAACTGAGACCAGTTATCCAGTATGTACTTTTTCTGAATGTTAAAAATATTTGATAAAAATACTTTTTAAAAAAAGGTCTTGTTCTTCATTGTTAGCTTATTAAAGCAAAAAATGTTGTTTTCCCCAAAAATAAACTATGTTTGGGGAAACTAATATTTCATAGTTTAATTTTTACATCAGCAAGATTTCAATGTTTGGTAACATTTGCCTCTGTACATAACTGTGTTTTTAAATTTTCAAGTCTTCTTTGATTTTTCTAGTCCTTTACTTCCTGGTTGGGGCTTTCATTGACCATAATTTCCATGTTTGTTGTTGTTCACATAACCAAATACGTAGAGAACAGATTTTTTTAAATAGACGTTTTTAAATAATCACAAAAAAAATGAGACCTTCACACATGCATATGCATATATATCTGTACATACATATATGTGTCCTGATTGCCAATTCAACACTTTTCCCACTCTGTCATACTTCAGCAGCTTAAGCTGTAAAAACATAGTATTCGGAAGCCCTTAAAGACATGACTTGTTTTATTTGCAGATAAATACTCACATCCTCCACAAGGTGGTTTTCAGCCAAGCATCTTGTTTACAGTTCACCAACCACAAACTCCTAACTGTAGGATCTACAGAGTCCACAAGGTGGCACTACATACCTCTGGTCAAAATCCATAACCAGTAAGGATTTCTGGAAAACAAGGTTAGAGAGGAGCCTCTGGCATCAGCAAAGATGAAACACTGAAGCTAATACGAAAGACATCTTGTTTCTGTCTAGAACAAGTGCCAGCCAACACATTTGAAGCTCTAATTACGTACTTTCATCCCAAATGCCCAGCGTAAGTTATAGAAGGCCTATGGTGGAGTATATTTCTTCCAGTGGCAAATTTACATCTGCTCCTTTGGACACACTTCATTACTAGTATTTGATCATCTTAAACATATTTCCATAAACTCCCTCCCGGTATACATTCCCCTCAAATATATGTACACATATATACCCACAGACTTGAACATACAAACCATGAAATCTATTTTTAGGGGTTTTTGGCTAGAACTCATAATCACATCCCTTTAAAATAATATTCACATCACACAAGCTAACTGTCTTTTTCTAATTTTTTTTCCTGCCCCCCCCCCTTTTTGTAATTCTTAATTTTCAAGTTATGAAGATCCCACAATTAAGAATAAAACGTGGTGGTTTAAGCCTCAACTCGGATAATAAAAATCTTTAAACTCATCACAAAAGATCGATTTCTGATCTTTATAATCTTCTATCAATTTGTCAGACTGGAAAGATCATCACTAGCCTTTTAAATACAAGCAATTATAAAGGATAACACCCAGTATTTGATCTTTTATAGATTTTCAGCCAATGAATAAGCCTCAGAAATGCCTTTTAAAAAGGCTGAAAATCTGAAGTCATTTAAGACTTTTTTGGTACATATTATCATGGCTTTTTTAAAGCTACAAATCTCCTGGAGATGACTTAATAAAATGTGCAGATGCCTTGAGCACTTTATAATACACAAATTTGATGTGATCTATTTGTTTCATTCAGAAACTTTTTTTTCTGTGCAGACCCAGGAATTTTTCCCTGGTTGTGTCTTGCATAACCAGTAAGGTTATGTGTCTTGCATCCTGATTAATTGAAGCATAACAGCATCTTACGGCCTATAATCTTATTTTTTTAAATGAGCACTGAAATTCAAAAGTACACTGTATACAGAAAACCAGGCTGTTTAAAGGACCACATCTCAATTATATTGCATATATAAATTGATTATATTTAAAAGACTAATGGGTAGGTGCTTTTTAATAATGTGTTTATTTCTAGCAGTGTTTATGGTACTAAGGCCAACTTTCTTAAAACTCAAAGGGAAAATAAATATTAATATATATCAATACAATTGAGAACTCACTCCAGTCCCAGGCTAACTCCAGTGATGAGGAGAATGGGCACTGTGGGCAGCTAGGTTGATTCTACTGCCAGCCTAAAAGCTTTTGCATGATTTCCAGAAGACCATGGCAGACAGTGTGCAGACTGATGAATGGGGAACCAGTCATTGAAAATCAGCATCAGAATATCATCTCAGTGTTGACAATTTACCATCTTCCCTTGATCTTCAATTCATAACCAATTTTCAGACAAGACTCAGAAACCGTTTTATTAAATTGGAACACAAAATGCCTGTTATAATGTCAAGCCTTTATCAGAAATCAGTATATAAGTGAGGATACACAGCCAAAATGAGCCATCAACAAAAGCAGTATAAATTTTAAATAAGTTTCATATTTCTATACTCAATATGCTAAAGAAAATAAAACGAAAAGAGCAATTTCCATTTCACAGTTCACAGTTGATTGGTTTTAATCCCATGACACATTTGCCATTCCATAGCCCCAGAACACAGATTTCCAAAGCAGTGACTGGCACTCTGACCCAACAGCATACACAGGTCTTAAGCCCCTGTACAACATTTAGAGAAAATTATAAAAACAACCCTAATTACATACAGTTTGGGCTGACATTTCTTAGCTATCTCCTTTACCAAAGATAGTTCTAGTGAAATTGCAAAAGCAGTTTAAAATTTGCCATGCCATTAAGTGAAGGGTTCTAAAGTCTCCCTTGGTTTACATTTTATTCTCTAACTTAATGACTGCATTAAAATGCAACCTTAATGGTGAAAGCAAAATCAGTTTCGCTTCTTAATCTAGAGCATATAACCAAGGAGAGGCACCTTATTGTCCCACCAGATATATGGAATGCTTTAAAGCAGGATCTGACGTACTCCATTAAGGCATCTCAAAGCAGACACATCATACCCAAACTAAATCATTATGGTCAGTCAAGGATACCACAGGTAAACAAGTAACAGAGAGTTAGCATGAAATTCTTACAAATGACACATGATTTACAAAACCTCCGAAAGGTACTCAGGTACCAAAAGAGGCCAAAACAATGACCAGCCACTCCGAGTTTTGTTTCTGTACATGCCATATTTGCAGTGTAGAAATAAACTGCTTTATATGCGCTTTGCCCTAGGATATCACTCCTTCTGACATGTGGAGTTACTTTTCCTTAAAAAAATATATATCATGTAGAGAATACACAAATAATAATAAATGATACAGAACATTTATTATTTTCACTAGTGAGGGGGTCAATTCAGCACTTACAAAGACATATAAGTGAATCATGAAGGTCACCAAAATGCAAGAAAATCTGATAAATGCTGCATTATTAGTATTCAACACTGCAGCAAGATTTTTAGCAATGGCATTGGGCTTAATTTGGAACTATAACCATGAGAATATCTTTAAGTTCAAAGAATCGTGAAATGTCCAAAAATAAAAGTTTAATTAGTAAAAATATGTATTTTTCCCTCGAAGGGCCCAAAGGAAGTGTTCAGTTACTTTGGAAGCCATGAATTTTATCAAACACATACAAGAATATGAATCTGGAACATTCCAATTCTGATTCAATTCTACCCATTGAATCTTCATGACCTGGAAGAAGTCACTTAAATTCTTTAGATCTTATCCACAAAAAGTGAGCATTAACATAAAGGCATATGTCAAAAAAAATTCTAAATATGACTACAGTAAAGCTAAAGTTGGTTACTAAGGCTTACAGTTCAACAACTCATTGTACAGTACAATAATTTTTAATTCTGCTAATTACAGCTGGAGGAAGCATGGATAATTACAATTCTCAGGGAATTCAAATCAAATTCTTCAGAAAAATAAATAGTTTCAACTTACTAAGCTACTTAATCTGTTCTCCTAGAGTTGTTTAAATCAGCTAATTATAGGGGCTGGACTCTTTTCTCCCTCCACCTTCTGGTCAAGCAGCAGAGTCTTGTGGGAGAAGTGACAAGAGGGAGAAAAGCAGCCACAGATTGAAACGAGGTATTTCCTGATTTCATAAACCCCGATCTGTAATTTCTAGTTTTCTGAAGAAGCTGCATAGTTTGGCAAAAATACATCATCAGAAGTGGGAAAAAGAAAAATTATTTTGAAACTTTAAAATTTGTGACAAGCATTTAAAAATGACCAATTCTAAAATAAACTTGTGTTTGAAAGGAATTGTCCTCCCTCACCCTAAGCACACACAAGAGAAACTGGAAGACAAAGGTCCACAGGAGAGAAAAAAAAAAAAAAAAAAAAAAAAAAAGAGGGGAAAAAAAAAAAAACTGTGTAAATTGGCTCAGGTTATCGACTTCATATATCACTTTCAAAAAAGATATTCAAACGAATAGCAAACTTTAACGACACCCATGCTAAGAATTTAGGGCAGTGTGCTGCCTAAAATTTACTTTGGAATGTTTAAAAAAAAAAAAAACCTGATGGATCAATGGATGAAAAGAGGGATGGAGAAATAAACAGGTACGTGGCAATACAAGCATAGCCAAATGTTAATGGCAGAATCTAGCAGTGCTTATAGTGTAAAGTTTTTTCAACTTTGATGTATGTCTGAAAATTTCTTGCGAAAATGTTGAGGAACATGTTAGCATTTCTATAATAAAATTAGTCTAACAGTGTGTTTCAAAGATTCTAAGTACTCAGGCAATTTAGAATTTTAAATTCATTAAACAAGGGAAAATTTTGCTTTTAATGTCCTAAAACCTGATTTGTGAAGATGCTTCCTTTAATATAGAAATGAACTAATGTAATTATTGTGCCAGTCTCTTCAAATACTTTAGTTGCAAATACATATTTCCCCTCTCCACAGGAAAGACAAGTTTGAAAATGACCACTAGAATAAAGAATTTTTCCAAACATCTGTGTCACGCTCTTCCAGTTGAACAGGCTGCCATTTACTAAGTACAAATACAACACAAATCAACGTGAAAAATGACCTATGACTGCTGCCAGCTTGGGACAACTGAATTCATTTTCAGGATGTATGGTTCCTGATCAATAACGACAAGTTTTACTTGGTATCAAATTGAGAATGCATTAAGAAAGGGAAAAAAAAGATGTAGAACAGAATTCACACAGACCATTGTTGGTCCAAGTTCCTATTTATGAATGGTGATTAACAGCAATAATTCTGTCATCTCTTCTCTCTGTGAAATGCTCACACTTGCTAAAGGCACTCAGATTCTGGGCTTAATGGAGACAGGGTCACATGGGACCATAAGCCAGTACGTTTTTTGGTAGCTACCCAGAAAGGAAGTTTACAAATGTTCCTCCCATTCATAACTGGGAGAAAAAGTCAAACAGCTATCAGAAGAAATGTTTTATGAGAAGCTATTTACACAGCTATTTGTCCATTCAGCTAGACTGACAGTAACAGCTCACAATGGTAGGGGTTCTCCCCTGCCAAGAGAGCAAAAACAGTAACAAAACACTTTTTATTACATATGAAACTCCTGTACTATGATTTGGCTAGAAGAAAAAAATAGTTGGTAAGGTCAAATTTTTTTAAAACATCTGTTCAAAAACCTGCATGAAACTTTTATCTATCCTGACAAAACAAGTCTCAGTTTATTTCTAAAGCAGCTCTATTGTCCTGGTCCACACCTCACCAAGTTCTTCAGGCTCATTTTACCTAAGTCACTGGACCTCATACTGCTGTTGCTTGCGTCCCAGCCAATTTAGGAGTTAAGGAAGATGTAACCAGCCACACATGTCTCCCTTTCTTGCTGTTCAAACTGTAGGTAGGTAACTATAAGCAAGCATATAGTTCTGTAGAAGAGCTTTCTAAAATGAGGTGGAAGATCTCATGCTTCTTGTTAGCTTTTAAAGTCAGCGGGACGTAAGGATGGTGTCAAATAGCCATGATTCTTCTTTTAAACTCAGGGCTTCAAAAATCCTAATGGTTTTCTAAGTTTACCAACTAATTAAAAGGGGAATCGTGAGGAAGAGTTGGAGGAGAAACTTTTTCAAAATAAATGGTATTTTTAAAAATTACTCACCTTGCAGAATGCAGTGTAGCAAGAAACAGGCAGACAAACATAAACCACATGCACGTATTTACAAGCTGCAGGACATGATGTGCAAAGTCATGACCAACAAAAGATTTTCAAAGTATCTTCAGGGGGCCCAGAAGGATTACAGGGCACACTCAGTTTGGTAACTGAACTTTTTTTTTTTTTTTAACCAAACCACTTCCAAGATATATGCAATCCAATATTTTAATTGAAACACTAATTTTCTTTCTTTACAACTTCTTACCCTCGAAACCTAAGAAGAATTCTAATTGTCATCTTCTAACATTGATTTTTTTATTGACAACTTACATAAAGACATTATCAACAGAGAAAAGAGACTGATGCTATGAGTTCCTATGGATGATTACTGAAATCCAAGGTTTTTTTTCTTTTTACTGATTTTTTTGTTGTTGTTTAGGCCTCTGTCCATCCTTGAAGACCACATAGAAAAAGACACTAACATAATTCCTGGGGAGTACAAGATGCAAATCCTAAAGTATGCTACAGAGCAGGACTGAACATCACAAAGTGACACAACGAAGATCACGTATCACGGACTCAGGAGAAACAGTCTGCTTAGACAGAAAAAACACTGTCTACAGATAGATGGACATGAGAAACTGCTCCATGCACAGATGTATCCATTTAGGAATTTCTTGCCTGATAAACTCTGTCACCCTTTGTTTTCACCTATGGAACAGAGAATATTGCAAGGTAACAAGCCCAAAACACAACCTACTGTCATAATTTGTGATTGTTTTTTAGATGTGCATGTAACTTTTACAAGTGATCATGGAAGTTACTCATCAACTTCCCAGAGTTTGAAAATTAAGGAGCAAACTGAGTTACTGTAGGCAATACGGTACTAAAGTGTCATATAAAACAAACACATAGCTCTTTTTTAGTGCAAAGAAATACAGCAAGTAAGAAATAATACTATAAATCTAACTTCTTTCTTTAAAAGAAAATGCGCTTATGCATTCATAACATCCATTAAGGGCACTGGGAAACTGGAAACCTGAATACACAAGGCCTGAACAACATCAAGCCCTTAAGTCCACTGCTTGTTCTACGTATATAATGAAACGTTAAGTGGAGAGAGCAAGGGGAATCTTTCTTTTAAAACTATTTCCAAAGGAAAACAAAGTGGATGAATGCCATTTTTATAAAACATAAATTCATATGTGTATCTTCTACTGTTATTTGAAATAAGGGTTGACATACCTCTCTATGGTATCATGTGTATGGGGGTATGCATACACATACATACCTACAGAGGGAAAAAAGCCTAGATTTTTAGGTAATCATAGAACCAAGTGGCCAGCACTATAATATTAAAATTGACCAAAAAAATTATACTTAGCAGCAAAATGAGTAACCTACTGGCCAATAAGAAAAGCCCTAAATTGCTCAAAACTAAGCAACTCTACTTTATAGATTACTGCAAAAAAGGGGGGGTGGGGTAGTTATTATATTAAGAGTCACAGGTCAAGATAGAATCCTAAGAGAATAATACTTGATTCTTCTGTTTCTGGGAGAAAAAATGTTACAAAATAATGCTACTCTTCAAAGAACCACCACTTCAACGGAAGACAGTAACTGGATAGTATAGAAGGGGTTAGTCACAGAAAACTCAATTTTAAACATGCGTCTGAGTTGTTTAAAAGTTGTCCCAAAATATTACAGAAAAAGAATGATTGTAATTTGCCTTCCTGAATCTATTTGCCTACAGGATTCTCAAGAAAAGATGGAAGTTTTATCTCTAATTAGTAATATAAGCAATCAAATGCGAATTGAGCATTGTTCAAAGATACTGCTTAAAATATAAACTTCCAAATCAAGTGGCCTTTCAAAAGTAATATGGATGGCCACTGGTCTTATGCATGTAAAATACAGTAAATAGATAAGATATAGTTAATAAACATTCACAGAGCACTCCATTAATCTAGATATACATTACAACTTCTTATTTTAAAAGCAAAAAACAAAAATAACAATATTGATATAATTATCAGATGCCAAAATGATCTATTGTATACTTTTCATTATCTTCAAGAAAGGCGAATTACAAAGAATAAAACCATAGTTCATGTATTTTTCTACTGGAAACAAACATAGTGACACTTTATTTGCTTTTTAAAAAGTTCCTCTCCGTGTATAAAACAGCAGGTAGTGACATTTTTCAGGACGGCCAACAGACTGGCAAGACAGAGGAAAATGTAAGTAAAGTGTAATAATCAAACTATCAAAAAAGTCTGGCAAAACAAAATGTCAAGCAATCCAAATTGATGGTTTAAATCATGATATAAGTGCATGTTACTATCCATGAAGAAGTAACTCTAAATTGAAAAATCAAACATATCTTTGTTTCCTTAACTCTGCTGGAAACTAAATTTTTAAAAATCATATCCACCTTAAACTCAAGAAATATTCAAATATGAGGCTTGGAAAACCCACAGCACAGCTGGGGCATGAAAATGAGCTTGTTCGACAAGCTGATTCAACTAGGAGGGGCAAGGGTCGGGAAAAGAGAGGCAGGAAGAAGGCAGTAATTAAATGTGTGGAAATCCCCAACTGGAAATCAAGTTTAGCTGTTTGGAGTACACAAGCTCATTGGGAGTATTTGAATTCAAGAAAACTTACGTTTCAATGACAGGGAGAACTGATATAGAAAAAAACATGTCCCGGGAAAGACCCTAACAGTTTCTAACAATATGTCCTACTGACAAGGCTTTGAGGTGGTGGTTCTTGGTTACTCCCCAGGAAACTGAAATCTCTGCCATCCTATTTTTACTGTGATCTAAAAAGAAGTCAATGCAATTCCTTAACAGTGCATAAAACTAAAACTGCAAAAGAAAATTGCAGGAAAAAAATGTCCCAGGAAAGACCTTAACAGTTTCTAACAACGTATCCTACTGACAATGCAATGAGGTGGTGGTTCTGGTTAAACTCTGGGAAACTGAAATCTCTGCTGACCTATTTTTGCTTTGATCTAAAAAGAATTCAATACAATTCTTTAACAGCACATAAAACTAAAATTGCAAAAGAAAATGATACTTTTAAACAAAGTTGACCAGAACTTGGGCAAGATAAAAAGTTATTTCTGCTGGGGTAGGTAGGTCACGTGCTGAGCAGCTCAACACAACAGACCCTGCAAAAGCGTTATGACCTAAGAAGTACATTCTCCACACCTGCCTCCCCGCCCCGCCCCTGGGCCCCCAGGTTTTGACATCTCATGGTACCACTGTGGGTTACATGTATTAACGTTAAGCAGAAGAATGCACTCATATCAAAAGGACCACAAAGCAGGGCAAGTTGACAAAAGGCAAACAACAGGCAGGATAAGCCGCTCTATCGTAGCATGAGAATCACTACACATATCCCAGATTCTCCATCTCACTCCTGTACCGCTGTTCAGACACCTTGCTCTTATGTTGCTTGCTCTCTAAATGCTGCCGGAATTCAATCTCTTCGCCAGCCCCAACATTACACATTGAGCAGTAAAACTGGCCACTTGGAGTAACACACATGGCCAGATCACGTGGAATTCTCTGCCGAGAGCGGGGATTGAAGTAAGGACCTGCTAAAGCAAGAGATAGAAATAATATATTCAAAACATTAATTAACTGAATGACAACCTGACCAATTATCACTGTAATTTGTAATTCTAAGCTCAAATTATAAAATTCACAGATTCTTAGCTTTAAGTGAACGCAAAGTTAATGGATGTTTAAAATTATAATTTTATACAGGTTCAATCTAAAAAGATAAAATGATTCCTCCAACTATTGTCAGAAAAATTGCTGTAGAGCCAAAACCAAATTCCAAGTGGCTGTGTCTCTAAAAAAAAGTGAATACACTTTTAAAAATACTTTAATTTCCAAGCATTATGTCAGGAGTCTCATACTTCTGTCAACCCTTTAATCCAGAAATTCCACTTGTGAGAATTATCCTAAGAAAATACTGAGAATTATCACACAGAGATTTACCAGCAACATGTTTATCTCAGCAGTGATTATAAAACCAAAAATTTAGGGGGAAGGAGAGATTCAAAAATAGGATTAAAGAAAATATGGTAATGAATGCAATGGAAAACTATGTAGTTGCCAAATATAGTAATGCTACAGAAAACTCTCATTAAGTAAACTAAGAAGATCCCAAACTAGAATCCCATTTCTATTTTAAAGAAGTAATATATATGAAGAGATTAGAACGAAATCTGCAAAAGTGTTGGTGACATTACAGATCATTTCATTTTCCTCTTTTTACATTACTGACTTCATAAGCTGGATCCTTAATTCATTCACTTTCCGCTTTTCACGTCTACTGCAATAATATACATGTAATGCTTTTCTCAAAATACTGCTTTCACTGCATCCTACAAGTGTTAATATATTTTCATTACTGTTTCATTCTAAGAATTTTAAATTTCCAGTATAATTGTTTCTTTAAACCATAAGTTATTTAGAGGTATTTTTAAATTCACACACAGAAATTTTGCTTTTCTATTTTTGTTGACTTCTCATTTCATTGTAGTCATCAGAGAACATAATCTATCCTAAAATTTATTTTTCTGATATTAATACAGCTATCCCAGCTTCCTTCATTTCAGATGGATTTCTTTTATCCAACTTAATATTTTTGGACTTCGGCAATTTTACATTTATTATAATTACTAATATATGTTTAGACTTTTATTAATCATAATGAATGGTGCTTTTTTTTTTTTTTTTTTTTTTTTTTTTTTTTTTGTTTTTTTTTTTTTTTTTTTTTTTTTTTTTTTTTTTTGAGACAGAGTCTTGCTCTGTCACCCAGGTTGGAGTGCAGTGGCGCAATCTCAGCTCACTGCAACCTCCACCTCCAAGCTTCAAGCGATTCTCTTGCCTCAGCCTCCTGAGTAGCTGGGATTACAGGTGCCCACCATCATGCCCAGCTAATTTTTTATTTTTAGCAGAGACGGGGTTTCACCATGTTGACCAGCCTGGTCTCAAACTCCTGACCTCAGGTGATTCACACACCTCAGCCTCCCAATGTGCTGGCATTACAGACATGAGCCACCAGCACCCAGCCTGAACTGTGCTTTCTCTATGTCCTCTTTTTAGTAGACTTCTCTGGCTTTTCAGTCAGCTCTGCTTTCTATTTGTTTCAGTGTTCAAGTAAATGACCTCTGCTGGCACATGCACATATCAGAGGCTGAGGTAGAGGGAGGATGAGGAACTACTCAGCCCACTCTCCCTGCTGAGAACAATCGGACAATCGGAAAATGCAGAATGCATTCCTATAAACCAGTGCTTGTGAACTGAATGTGTGTATCAGAAGCACCAAGCAAGCATTTTCAAAACACATATATCTCTGGGTCCCGCTCCAAATTTACTCACTGAAAATCTCTAACTCATGGTTCAGGCACTTTGTAAAAACTCCTTGGGTAACTGTTTCACTACCCTGGTTAAAAACCACTGCTTTAGAATCTTTTTTAACATGGTACAACTTTAAACCAAGTTGCCCATTTGTATTGCATTTTACATTTCTCGGCTGGCAAATATAAACAGATATGAAGGGATTATAAGAGACCCTAAAACATAGACTATGGTTTAAAACCAAAATAAAGAATATATTTATTATTGTAAATAATTAAAGTAAATAAATAAGAGCTGAAATACATACCAGCCTGAAAAACCACCTCTAGACTAATTCAATAAAGCACTGACTAACTCCAAAATCTCAGGCTCTCTATTATCATTAAAAGAAATAAAAACAAAGGAGGCCATGTGCAAAATGCCACCACAGTATGTGGAAAGAGACAGGGTACCTGAATTATTCTGCACTGTATACACAGGGATGTGGAAACAGACAGGATACCTGAGTTATTCTGCACTGTATACATAGGTACGTGGAAACAGACAGGGTACCTGAATTATTCTGCACTGTATACACAGGGATGTGGAAAGAGACAGGGTACCTG